ACGGCTCACCATGTGGTGGCCATGCAGTTTGACGTTGCACAGAGCAGTCGTCGGGCGCGAGGGTCCCGAGTCATTGGGTGTGGTGTCTTATCTGTGGAGGCGGCGCAGGGCGGGAAGATAGGAACGGTTCCTTACCCTTCTTTACCCCGGTGGCGGGGCGATATCCCATCTGTACCCGTCCTCTTGGCCTCCGGGTGCCGCAGTGGGGGAATCAAGGTGGACATGGGATGGAGAAGTTGTTTCTTGGGCATCGGTATCGGGTTGTCGTCTGCGCCCTTTCGCCTTTTCGGCGCTCATTGTGGGAACGCAGCGGCGTGCGATGGAGAGAAACTGGGGTCGGAGTGTTGGTTCACCGGCTCTCTCCGAGACGTTGCGATAAGACAAACAAACATGTTGGTATATGTCAGCAAGAAGGCCGATGAGCGGCGACCAGCGGTTCGTCGAGGTTCTGCAAAGAGACCTGGAGAAGAAGTGTTACATGATGATGACGGTCAGCAATTCACAAATTGTCCCGCGTGTGTGCGCCCTCTGAGATTTGATAGACATGATGGATGCCATTTGTTAGATAGGGCGCGCACATCATCGAACGAAGCACCCATAACAAGCCTGAGAATGCTCTTGGCATCATCCTGCTGTCGCAAATGCGAGAAGCCCGTCAGACGGTATCCCATGTGTCCCGTTCGGTGTTCAAAAACCAGCTAGGACGCCGAGATGACACTTGTGACATCTCCGAGCAATTGACCGCGGGATGCAGATTCTCTCCGGTAACGGCTGATCCTAGAGGTCGATGGATATGCCCATCTGCTCCATCTGCGACTGAGCCGGCCCGGTCGTCAATATTTAATCAAAAATACAACGTAGCTGCAACCCAGAAACAAGAAAGAATGCCTCTGAAGGAAGCTTTTGGCGACGGTAGATAAGCACAAATGCCGCACTTGCTGGACGGCAGGCAAAGAGAGAGACGGCAGCCACTGGCAACAGGCTGGAGTGAGTGCCGGACTCCACAAGAACATGTAATTGGTCGAGATAGCCAGTCCCGAATCCCACGGGTAGAGATAAGAGATGCGTCAATTAGTCTCGGCATGTGGGCGGGGCGGCAGCTGGTTGGAAGGTCCAAGAAGAAGAAGCAAACAGACAAGGAAAAAAGACCGCTTCACTTGAAGAGGCTTTGAAGTTGAGATATCACCACAAATGACATGACATTGACGTTTGGTGTTTTCCAGAGTGTCGGGGGCCAATGTGTGTTTAAAGTGCATCAGGGTTGTGACGGCGCAAGGGTCGAAAGTTACTGAGGTGCCTTTGGGTTCAATGGCATCATGAGCAGCCAATTGAAGGCCCGGAATGACAAATGTCTCCGTGCGGCATTCTCCACAGCTGTAGAGTGCCGAGAGATTTGGAGATTGAGCTGAGGAGAAGCTGCTGCAGCACGGCTTTGCGGCTCTGCAACTCAAATCACATCATCCGCCAAACCCCCTTTCAGACTTGCCTTCGCAGATTCTGGGGTAACTTACGCCCGCAACTCTGCGCCCGCAAGATCGCGCCCTTAAAGCAACCCCCAGTGAGCATCTCGGGCGTCACAGCAGGCGCAGGAACTGCTGCAAGAGCTCTCTCTGTCTGTCCAGCTGAGCCAAGACCCGACCCGACGAGGCGGATCGCCTGAGTGAACCATGGCTGAAGCCGCGGGTGCAATTGCGACGGAGACCCCGCCTTGGTGGGCAGCGTTTCCTGCCCCCAAAGCCAAGTCTTTGGAAGTCGAGGCCGACGAGGTGATGGCGTTGCTTGAGGCTAGAGCTGCAGATGGACGAGATAGCCCCCGCGACTTTCTGCTCGTGGACGTACGCAGGAACGATTGGGAGGGCGGGACGATATCAACATCAATCAACTTCCCCGCCCAGACGCTGTACCAGACAAGGCCCGTCATCCATGAGTTGTGTAAGCAGGGTGGTGTCAAGCGTGTTATATTTTATTGCGGTGAGTAGCAATCCGCTCTAATCGTCTCTGTCCACAACAAACAACCCACACACTCGAAATGACCCCTCCCCCCTGCTGAAGCCGTTGCACAGGTAGCAGCAACGGACGCGGCCCACGCTCTGCGAACTGGCTGCAGGATTACTTTGATGACGTTGGCGAGACCGCTGTGCAGGCCGTCATCCTCAAGGGCGGCATCAAGGGCTGGGTACGCAAGTACGGCGGCCGCATGATGGATTGGTATGACGAGAAAGCCTGGGCCGATATTGCCAAGTGAGCCTTGCCGCATGGACGCAGGAGATCCGTGGTTCGTCAAATGGCAGCTGCGGCGGTCGTGGTGGTTCGCATTGAATGTGACATTTGCTGGTATCTAGCCATACTTCATCCCCGCCCATTTGTCTTGGAACCAAATGCATCTTTTTGTGCCGTCATAACGCCGAAGTGTAAAAGCCCCGCAAAAGCATCTCGTGGAAGTCGACCATCGAGTCGTTTGGCAATCTAGCCTCTCTGCTGGCGGTCGTCGCCGCCAATTCTCTCCAGCGCCTCCAGCATGACGACTGAGTTGCCGCGGATGACCTGGGTGAGGTTAGCATTGAAACGGTAAATCTGACGGAAAAGGCGGTATACGTACGACCATGCCTAGCCTGACCTTCTCCCCGCCCTCCTTTTCCTCGACCGCCTCGTCCAGAACAATATTCAGGAAGACCTATGGAGCTTGTTAGCTCGGAACTCCAAACGACAGAACCAAGAGCGTCGCACATCGTAGCCTCGGAGAACACCGATAACCTTGCGGCTGCCGTTCAATTGGACGAAAAGTCTCTTGTCGAGGTACTGCGATAAACGTTAGCGATCATGATCCAGGACAGGAGGGGATGAGCCGATAGAGGAGGTGCCAAAGTAGGCACTCTCCATTAATCTGGTTGTACATCGTACAAGTCCGGAGACTCGGGAATGTCCGTGAGGAAAATGGGCCTCCGTACCTTCTTCAGCTCGGGCTGTGCGGGCGCCATCTTGTGCTGTCTGTCTGTGGGGTGTGGATGGGTTGGATATGGGTGATGTCAATCGAGGCGCGAAATGGGCTTTGCGACGCGACGAAGCTATCGATGCTCTGTCTGCAGCCTGCCGAGGGGAGCCTGGCCTGGGCGGTGTCGAAATTTGGGTGGGTCACGTGGCGATAAGAAAGCTTATCTGCGCGTTCTCAAGGTGAGGTTCCCAGGCACCTGAGCGGCCTCGAATTACTGGTGCTTCAACACCTTCAAAATTCTACCGAAATTACATCATCTGTCAGGATGAGCTCTTTTACGCCAAAAAGGAAAGCTCGTGTGATCAAAGTCCACGACGAAGAGGATGATGATGCGTCAAAAAGCTCGCCGGAGCCGGTGAAGGATGGTGAGTCTGCAGTCCCCGTCCAGAGACGATGCGCTGATGCCGTTCGCAAGGCTAATGGGGTGGCAGACGGTGCGCCGATAGCGGTCAAATTCACGCGGAAACCATTTCGACAGAGCGGCCTGCGAAAGAGCATCAACTTCAGCGAGGTCGACGACTCCAATGGCGGTGCTGCGATCAGCGACTCGGGCAAGTCTAAGGGCTCCACGCAACAGGATGACGACGAGGATGACGGCCCCGTGGTGATCCGTCCGACGGTCAGCCGTTCCGGGTCTCTGAAGCAGAAGAAGCGCCAGTCTTCGTCGAGACTGTCGTTTGGTGGTGCCCAGGGCGGCGGTGACGATGGGGAAAAGACGGAGTACACCACGCCCAAGAAGGCCACCCTGGGATACACAGCGTTGGAGAACAGCGCGATCAAGAACCGTCTGCCGATGCGCACCTTCCGCGACGAGGAAGAAGACCGGCCGAGGTATAGCAAGGAATACCTGGACGAGCTGCAAAACTCGACGCCCAACACGCCACAGAACCTTGCATCCCAGCGCATGCACGACGAGGACGAGATGGACCTGGATGCATCTGAACTTGAGGGGGCACTGATTGTCAACTCGGACGAACTGGGCTCGCGGCCTCAGCAGACGAACATCCTTACCGATGCCGAGATCCAAGAGCGCAAAGAGCGCAGGGCACGATTAGCACAGGAGCAGTCTGGCGACGACTTCATTTCTTTCGACGATGATGAGGGTGGTGCCTCGCTGCGCAAGAAGAAGGCTGAGACCCGGCTTGTGCCTGAGGATGAGGATCTTGGAGAAGGGTTCGACGACTTTGTCGAGGACGGTGGGCTGTCACTAGGTAGAAAGGCCGAGAGGGAAGAAAAGCTCCGCCGGCGGCGCGAGATGGCAGAGCAGATCAAGATGGCCGAGGGCGACTCTGGTGACGAATCGGACGCTTCGGAGGCGGAGCGGCGTGCGGCGTTCGAAGCAGCGCAGACGCGTTCCGGCATGGATGGTTTGGAGAAGCCTCAGACCAACCCGGCCGAGCACCTTCTGCAGGTACCACCCAAAATCACGCCGTTGCCGGACCTGTCAGAGTGCCTGTCGAGGTTACAGATGACGATGCGGGCCATGGAGCTGGAGTTGGCGGACAAGACGAAGCGGGTGGAGGAACTGAGACAGGAGAAGGAAAGCATCCTGACCAGAAAGGATGAGGTGCAGGAGCTTCTCAACGAGGCTGGACAGAAGTATACCAGCGCGGTCGGCACATCATCAGCCGCAGAATCTGCTGCACAGTCTCCGGCAAGACAGATCACGAACACTGGCGCCAGTGAATTAAGGGTGGAGAGGGGGCTGGAGAGCCTTGGAACGACACCAAGTGAGCGCCCGGATCCAGATGACCTGGGTTAGTTGGGTTACGTACGTGCACCTAGCAAATTAATGATACCCAACATAGACTGCTTTCATGGAACCATTGCTTCAATTCTTTGATTGTCTAAGAAATAACCTCTCCATAAACAGAGAGAAATGTCCTGCCAATGCCAACGCCGCATGAGAATACACCTATGGTACAGACTACCACTTGCCAATTATAAGCACAGTCACTACACTCATTCCAATCCACCTTGAACTCGCAAAGCCTTATCGTCGATGGCTTTACTTCGATCTGGAGACACCAGCACCAATGACGCCAGGAAGCGGCTCCTCGCCGACGTTGAAGAGGAGAGAGATGGCGAAGTAGAGGGTGCCAATCAAAGCGATACCGAAACCAGTGAAGAGCCAAAAGGGAACGCTGACATCAACCTTGCTGCAAGCAGGTCCTCCCCAGTGGGTGACGCTGCCAGTCTTGTTGGACTTGGTGGACAAGCAGGCACAGGCAAAGCAAGTGCCGGTAGACTGACCGTCGGCCTTCTGGTACTTGTTGACGCACTCGCCGTGGCCCGAGCAGTTCCTGGTGTCCTTGACACAGGCGTCGGCCGACGAGAAGCAGGAGGGGATGCTGCCGCGCTTGATCTCGCCGGGGAAGGGGGTGGCGCTCTCGGCGGGGCTCGTGGGCGCGGGCTTGTCCTGCTTGTCGGACTCGGTCTTCATGACGGACTCGACCTGGCGGCGGCGAAGCTCCTCAGGCTTGGAAGACCAGTGACGAATCTGAGAGTTGCGGGAGGACTCGGGCATGGCAACGAGGATAGTCTCCATCTCGCCGTTCTGGGCCAGCTGGCGGAGGAGGGAAGCGTTCTCGGAAAGGGAGTTGATGATGGAGGAGTCCTGCGAATCCATTGGCATCAGCATTTGGGCATCCATCATAGCGGTTGAATAGTTAAATTACCTTCTTCACGTCGTATCTGACGACGGACGACTTGCCACTCCAGCACTCCTCCGCAAAGGGGTTGATGGCCTTGTCGAACTTGCAGCCCTTCGGGGTGACGCCGACGTTCTGGAAGTCGTTGGCCAGCAGCAGGGTGTTGGCAGCGGCGGAGGGTGCGTCGCCGACCCTGAAGCTGGGTCCAGCACCAATGGACTTTTGAAGCGCCTTGGCATCATCGCCAGTGATACCCTCGAGCATGACAACAAGCTGGGACGGGTTGGTGGAGGCGGCGTTGCTGAAGAGACCCTGGGGCGACAGGCCGAAGTCGTTCAGGTAGTTGACTGCCTTCTCGCTGGACATGGTCTCGGGGAGATCCCAGGTGCCATGCTGGCCCTCGGGGGACAGACGCTGGAGGAGGATGAGGCGGGCAATCTGTCGTGGTAATGATGGGATGTCGGAACTGGAGGTTGAGGTCTGCTTCGATTGCAGGAGATATACGTCAGCGGGCTGGTCGGAGGACAGCGCGGTCGCGACGCCAGCCAGGGCTGTCGCAAGCCCAACGGAGACCTTCATGATGTCGAACGCGGTGGATGGAGCTCGGGGATGGAATCGACGATGGGGTGTTGTTGACGGGTGGGCGAGCTTGATGCTGCAGGTGGCTGCTATCTCCAAGGCCAAAGCTGCGTCGAGTCGGCACGTAAGTCGACGGGAGCTGTCGCAGCACGTCCCAGGTGCCTGTCTGGATCCATTGGCGACCCCGTGGCGGGATCAAAGTGGCTAGTGCACCCGGCTGAACCGTTTATCCGACTGTGGCTTGACCCCTTGCCCGGGGTCCAGAGAAATGGAGCAGGGGTCGTGCTACCCATCGATGAGGGTGCCCCGTGCATTCTGAGCGTCCACACTGTATGCTGCGCTATCGGCAGGCATCCTTCAGGGGGCCCGATACACTGGCGGGGTGAGGGGCGGGAACCAACAAACACTGTGCGCCGACATGCATCTAGAACTCCGGCCGGGAACCTGAGCGGAGGCACTGCACTGGGTCGGCAACTTGGTGGCAGCAAGACACAGAGAGCCGCGCAGCGCAGCCGCAGCTGTTGTTCAGTTTGATGTTGGAGTCGCCTCGGGCTGCCGTTGCCTCTGGAACAAACAATAGCAAAAAGCTGCATTCGAGTCGCGGCAAACCACGTCAGCCTTGTTAGAAGTGCCGCGCCGTCTGTGTCACTTCTTTCATCCTCTTGTTCGCATTACTACACGGTCATCTGCCTGCCGTCCCGTCACTTCCATCCCATCCCACCTCCGCCGGGCAACCCACGTCGATTCGCATCAGTCATCGCAGCCTACCAACCTTCGTCCGTCTCCCCCAACTCCGATATCCCGACCGGTCCATCGCTGCACGAGAGGGACATCCTTTTGCTACCGAACCTAATACGGCCGCCGTCGCTCGGCGTGCCCCTCTGAATATACGATGTGGCGTTTCTTCAGGCCACGCGCCAGCACTCTCGCTGCTCGGGCGCTCGCTCCGAAGGTCCAAGGCCAACAGACCATCGTCGTCCAGAGGGTCAAGGTCACAAAGTCCCGATTCAGGGCCAGGTGCGCACCCGCTACTTCCGTTGCTCCATCGGACTACAGCTGACTTACTGCCAGGTCGTTCTTTCTCGGCGCAGGCATCTCGCTCGCCTGTTGGCAAATGTACTGGTCGACCGTCCTTAACCCATTCTTCCGACATGTCGACCGCGAATACGAGAGTCTTTCGGCCGCCGAGAAGAAGGCGCTAGATGAGGAGATGGATGAGGAGACCGAGCCTTGGTTTATTCCCTTCCCGTTTACGACGAAACAAGTCAGCCAGCCGCCGTACAAGGGCACCGACCCGGAGTGGCGACAATACGTGAGGATTAGCAAGGACAAGGAGCTCCAAAACCACATACGGGGTATGGATAATAGTCCGACTAGAATCGCGATAGATGCTGACTCTGGTGTACAGCTGACCTGGCCCACTGGGTGCGAAGCGCTGTCGAGAGGCACCCTACCTTGACGGCGAGGTGTGGCAATGTGGTGAACTTGCGGAGATACTGGCTGGACATCGATTTTCCGTACCGTCCGCCGCCAGTATACTACTCTTCTGGGTACGTTGTGCTATGGCTTGTACCCTAGACATACCGACATGCTCCGTACTAACATGGCGCAGTTTGCTGATGCAGGACGACGGACTTTATTGGTCAACTCAACCGGTTGATTCTTTAACAGTCAACAGGCTGCGCAAGATTCTCTGGCCAGAAGCCATGACACTCTCGACATGGGCCTTCACGTCGGCCCTGGTGAAGCAACACTTCGAGGGCATATCTCGCGCGCTCGGCTTCGAGCCTAGCAAGCCGATGTCGCCGTTCCCGTCATTACCAGGCGGCAATGTACAGCAGACCAAGTCTGAAGGGCCGCTCCCCTCAGCTAACAGACAGACCCCGGACGGAACTCCTGCAGAGAACGCCTCCCACGATGTCAGCAAGACTTCTGACTCACGACAATCGGGAGAACCCGAGAGTGGCGGCAGGACCAACTTCGTCAGGGACACAGCCATGTCTCACATCGAAGGCATGAAGCAGATCACAGATGGCCCTGCCCGCGAGTTCAGAAAGAAACTGGCACAGTCATGGAAGCCTACCCGATCTTACCCTCCGCGAGGCTGCATCCTGGTGTCCGGCTTTGTCGAGATCGAGCTGCCCAGAGGCTTCGTCGTTATTGACGTTTGGGGCCACTGGAATCCCAAGACGGAAAAGTTCGAACCCAGATCGACCTACATGATACTCAGAAGAATACAAATGAAGCAACAAGCCCCTGCTCGGGGCTGAGCAGACTATACAAAGGCATCTTTTTTGCATACTGGCGGCGTTGGGTTAGCGGTGAGCATTTTGTTATCTTGGGGTGTCGTCGGCATCGGTTTGGTGGCATGAAAACACCAGCGATTATCCGCATGGGGAAGGGGAGATCTGCCAGACCTTTCCGGGGCTGCGAACCTGCATTCCATACAATGATGGAGTAAGCGTTCTTCTATTCATTATCAGAGATACCATAGATTGCGTGAGGTGGGACGGTTTCAGGGGTTCAAAAGTCCTCTCACAATTCCTTCCTCATAAATTTGCTCACGCCTAGTCTTCTTGGCTTCTACCGTGCAACTCTGAATGCTGGTGGCATTTCATGTCTGTGGTCTTCTCCTGGTGCCTCGACCACCCCCGCCCCATCCATTTCATACAGATGTCGCCCTTCCAGCTCTTTCACGCCTGTGTACTTTTCCGAAGTAACTTCGCCCTGCACCTCAGCCTTGGGTTTCTTTGCGTGGCGCCGGTAAAACCAGACAGCCGCCAAAAGGGCCAAACCAGCGACAAATACACCTACTCCAACCCCGATGCCCGCAATCGCGCCGACACTGAGGCCTGAAGAAGGTTCATCGGGTTTGTCAGTTGATGTCTCTGCCGGCGCGGTTGCAGCCGCAGTCGCGAATCCTTCACTCGTGCTGGTCGCGCCCTGGCTCGCGGAGCTTATTGTCGTTGTAGCTGTTGCCGCCGCCGCCGCCGTCGTCGTCGTCGTCAAAACCTGGCCCACGGCGTTGCCAACCGTCGCGGCAGGGAGCTTGAAGACTGCCGTCGAAGTGCTGCAGCACCGTGTCTTTTCCCGGTCCGACTCGCAGCAGTATTCCGCCTCCGCGCCGTACCCCTGCCGGTCACACTCCCACACTTGCACGCCGCTGCTGCGGAAATCGTAGGCCGAGGAGTTGTCTGGCGAATCTTGGTCTATGTCCCTATCAGCTTCGTCAGGTCTTGATGGCGAAGGCGTAGGGCTTCTTACTCAGGAGACACTGCTTCGGGCACAGGTCGCTGGTCCATTGCGGGTCGGTACACGTCCCGCGGGCGTAGCTGTTGCCGCTGCTCGATGTCGTGTCGTCGAGGAGGCAGAGGCCGTTGGATAGGCACGCTTTCGATGAGCCGCAGCACATGCTCACTGGGGCGGAGACGTTACATGGCACATCGGTGCTCTGTCTGCCGTTGGGGAAGTAGCAGAGGAGCTGGGCCGTGGCCAGGTGCAGTGCTGCCACGACGATTAGAGTGCCGCTTGCCAACATCATGAAAGCTGTTTTCTGGTGCCAATGGATATATCAGGAACCAAAGGGAAAGAAGTTCTGGAATATTGGAACTTGACAGATGTGAAAGAGGATTCAGCGGCAGATTTAATCGATGGATGTTCACCCCGCACCAGCTTAAGGCTGGTGGGAATGACACCACGATAACGCTCTAGTTGGGTCTGGTGCGACTTCCGAATGATCCTTCAAGTTAATTAAAGATCAGAATTCACGTTGATGCAGGGATTCAGCGAGTCGACGGTCTGTCGTGGGCGTTTCTTGGCTAATTTGGTGGCTGAACCCCCTTCCAGCGCATGGCGCTAAGGCGGGAGAGGCGAAATCGAAGTTGATGCAGTCGCGTCAAGTTATATTCAGACATTTATCGTCAATGAATGAGTTCCCTGCTTGTATCTTTTTATATTTAATTGTAATACTTCTGTTAGTGACGACGAACCAACTGACGATGATTTTTACTGTATTGACAAAGAGTTTTGCTTGCCGGGAAGTTTTAGTTAGCCACCAGGAAATTATCTCCGATGATTTTCAACCTTGGCATATTTGATACTTCGATTAAGACGATAGCAGCAGAGAAAAAGATGACGAGGAGGAAGGATGATGGTAGAGGACGATGACAAAGGACTATGACAAAGGACTATGATGAACGGCGATGACGGACGACGATGATAATAACGATGACGATAGAGATAATAAAAGTGATCGCACGGGAAACGCAGTCGCTTTAGCACCTGTACGAAAAGCAGGGGGACTTGGTAGGATATACGATTTACACGCGTGTGCGATGGACACTATCCGGCTCGCGAAGCTTTTGAAAAACTACGTGGTTCGAAAGAAAGATCATCTCCTGGGTATCACGTCCAACTCCTTGCGCCTCCATCTCCTGGCTCCCCTTCCTATCTTCGAACTACCTGTCGCTGCTGACCTTTCTTCTTGGGGAAGAAGGTGATGCCTTGGAGTTTCGAAGCCGTTGGCGGAGCTTTCACATACTGATCTCCATAAAGCCCGACGCTTGGCTCAAGTTGACGTCTAAGAGCCAGCGCAGTAGTCGCCGGCAGACCCCATACAGAGTACCCCCTTGCCATGCTGCTCCTCACACACTCTCGCAGATGAGAGGTGAACCACTCTGCGCTCGGCTTGTTCTCGATACCCATCTCGCCAAAGAAGTCGTGGAAGTTGTCGATGTCATGCAGGCGACGGACATCGGTCGACAACTGAAGGGCTGCCCCTTGTGGTGGCGCGCCGTGGCGATCGAACAGCTCATCCCGAACCTCAACCAGGCTCTTCTCATTTGATGGTCTGGCGATGCGCCGGAAAAGCTCGGAGAACATCAACAGGCGATATGACGTCCGGCTTGCCTCGAAGGTCTTGCGCAGGCGGAATGTTGAGACCTTGTCCGGCTCCAGGTAACTGAGTTCCGCCCTGTTCGCACCTCTCTTGTCGAGCATCC